CATTGATAAAGTATTTACCGATAAAGCATTTTGCCAGGTAGTGCATACCAAGAAATCGTTTTTTACTGCGCATAATTTTGTAGCAATTTCCATCAGCAATTCCACGTGTAATGGTATGGATTGCAACTAGAGTACAGGATTTTTTCCACAAACAGTTTACTGTTGGGGATCTATCTTCGAAAAAAAGAGCTGTCTGGCCACAGTCACTGACCCCCTGAATTCTGTGGCTGGGCTCTGTGGCCGGGGTATGTGGCCTGGTTCTGTGTCCGGGTCTTGTCCTCTTGTTCCTTAAAGAGTTTACTGTTGGTGTTCTATCATAGAAAAGATGGCCGCTCCTCTGAACTCTGTGGCCGGGATATGTGGCGAACAAATCACTGTACATAAACACAGCACTTCTATCAGCATGCCGCGTGTAATTGTATGCATTGCAGCTAGAAAAAATATTTTCCAAACAATTTGCCACACGTGCTCCTCCAAGGCAGTCTCTTCAAATGCTTGGCTCCCAAGTGCTTGACTCCCATGCTTGGCTCCCAAGGATGCTCCAGTCTGAGCCACATTCATGGCTGAACAGGCTCCACTCTGAATGAGACCCGATTGCTTAGAAAGGACTCAGGTAGCATATAGTGGTGTATGTCCTTTGATCCACAGCCACGCTTCGTTTCTCGCTGCTCGACTGGCGGCTCAACACCAAGGGGTTTGGAGAAGATGCCAGAATATAAGGGTCCGATCCCTCCATATGAGGGTCCATGAGCGTTTCGGGATGTCAAATTAAAGGAAACACTACATCAATAGCAGCAGCAGCCGCAGCAGCAGGTAGATCAGATCGCGAAGAAACTTCAGCAAATACGAGGTTGCACGAGTTGATGTTGCTCAAGTTGCAACTATTTAAAACTTGGGAACGGGGACATGTCCTTCTAGCAGAAAGGACGCCAGACTTTGGTGCCCCCCAGAAGGCCACTTCCCAGGGTTTGTCCCAAGACAAGACAAATTCTGTTCATGAAATGAACTGGTTGTTTGATAGATCATGGTAGAACTATATACGGTAAACACAGTAACACATAGTATACTCACTTATACTCCAGTCATCCAAGTCCTGAACGTTGTTGTTTGTTCAGCAGCATGTTTGGGGTTTTTAAACTATGACAAGGGCATGCGGCATGCCCCATATGGTTCTGGCCCCCTAGCCTCCCATATGTCTGGATTCAATGCTTCAGGTTTGGCCTTGCTGACCATGCCTTTATGCCAGTGGTTTTGCTGTCCAACTATACAGAGGATGTGGACTGCAGGAAGCTACCAGCTTGATTCGATCAAGGCTTTGTGGAGACTCCAAGCCTTTGTACTGGGCAATCCACACTTTTGATTCCTGCTCTTAGCATGATTTAGCAGTCCGTCCCTTTGAACATTGGAGCTTGGCAAAGGGATGACATCATATGCTATAGTTGCTGCCTTCCGTCCTTCGCACTAGGCGTGTAGGTAGTTATAGGTAGTTCAGGACCAGGTAGGCTTTTCTTTGCCAGACACGTTCCAGGATGTTGGAGTCGCAATTGTTGGGCCTCTCAGGCGGGGCCGGCTTTGTGAACCGACCAAATCCGGGCCTTTGGATTCGCATACGTGTTTGGTGGTGAATTCCATCACCGCTGGACACCAAGGGTGGAGAAAGCTTCAACCTTCAACAGGGTGGCAGGAGCATCCTGAAAATGCGATCCTTGGCCCCTTTAAGACATCTTAAGACCATTCTTTGGAACCACATGCTCACTTCCAAAAATCCCAAGAAAGGCGCTATCAGAACCATCCTGGGAGTGAAACTCCTGCAACTCGAGAAACTGGGTCGGTCGCTCTACCATGTCCGACCCATGTGGTGTGCACGCGCGCCAGGGCAGGGCATTTTCACCGGAAGTGCCTGTCAAATGGAAGAGGCCATCCGGCTCTTTGCTGGCAAAGGAGCCCAGGACAGCGGTTGAACCGCGCTTCACCAGGAAAAAGCACCGGCAGCAGCTTTCTCTTTTTCAAGCACTGGCTCAGAAGATCTCGGAAGGGCGTCATGTTCTGTCAGTGAAGGTCTTCACTTTAAGGGTTCAATCTTAATGTGACGAGCAGGCTCCGGCAGCGTAGAACTTCCCGTCTTAGGATGGCCTGCGTTCATGAGTTCATTTCACATTAGATCCTGCATGTCCTGCGCACTGATTCGATGTGTGCCTTCTGCACTAGTTCCATTGAGCAGGCACCTTTTCCATGGTACAGAAAGACCGGCAACTCACTGGTCCAGTCCCACCAGAAAAAGCGGCGCCCAGTCGTTGGATCGGCACCCCTTTGCAGCCAATGCACCAACCCCACCAACCAACCCCCGCCCGGGATCCACTGCCACCTTCTCAGGGACCCTTTGCAGCCGAATCCATGACCTCGAGGGGTTCGTCAGACTTTGGGGAAACCAGCCTGCGCCGGCCACGTGACCCGGTCAAGATCCGGTCCCTCTCGTAGGACTCGGAGCTCTTTCGCATCAACGGCCTTTGGGCGACTTGGAAGATCGTGAATCGAGCGGGCCGGCCGAGCAGGGTGACGCACGGTGACGCATGGCTCATTGGGTTTGAAAACCGTGTTGCTTCAAGGACACTCCGGCCTACCAGATGGAGCATGCAAGTCCATGTGAGTGGGATGTATGGTTTTTTTGAAGGCGGGTCATGAACTTAGCTGTCAGAGAGTTCGAGGCTCACATATAGGCATAGGCTCATACGACACCGATGTCAACCTGATATCCATGAAGTTATAATCACCTTTTGTTTCAGCAATCCTGTCCCTTTTGTATACTTACCGACGAATGATGGAACAAAGCTGCCAAAGCTGCTACACCTGAAGTCTTAAAATTCCTCAGACAATGGGTACAGGTACAAGTACTAGTCTTTGGAGGGTCATGTCCGTCATGCCCCAATTTTCTAAGATACTTTGGAGGGTCCAGGTACGCAAACCCACACAACATCTCTGGAATAATCATGGTTAAGTGTATGGCATGGCCACGAAAGGATGACAATCTGAATGCCAAACAGGTGGCATTCCATTAGCAATGATTCTCTTTCGAATATAGGTGAAGAATTGAAGAACCTTCAGACTTTCATCATCACCGGTAAAAATCTATTCCAAGCTTGGAACTGACTCTTTTTCCCACATATTCCACTTCCCCCCGCGTATTTCCGCTCTCCACGCAGGAGGAGCTGCAAGGATCCGCGCTCTTGTTCGATCATTTGCTCAGTGGCAGTGCCCATCTAGGCGAATATGCCTCCGTCTTGGCCCTGCCAGGCATCCAGGAGAGCCGGGTCGGACGCCACTGGCTTGGAAGGGAGTGGGAGTGGGAGCATGACTGGGGCGGGATCAAGAATTGGCATCATTTCCTTCTAGAGATGGAAGTGGCTCCTCTGGATCACTTGGAATTCGTGATAGTCTCCATAGTTGAAAACATTTGAAAACCGAAAAGCCAAGGTCTCAAAACATATCATCAAGATGTCTCAAACATTCTCAAACCGACATCACGAACATGCGAACATATGCGAACATGTGATATGAATCACATATGTATACTGCCCAACGCCCATTCGCTTTCCGCTTCTGGCCTTCCCCCCCTTCAACTTCCTTTCCCCCGACACCGCACCAGGAGTCGGACGACACCTTGGGCCGCTTCGGCGATCGCCTCTACGCCGCGCTCGTCGCACCGCGCGGAGCGCTCGCGGCGCGGGAAGTGGTCCGCCCGATGCCGAGCAACAGGTCGACTGGCCGGTTGCAGGCAGTGGGGGGGGTGGTCCGAGTTTGTTGTTTCTTTTTGTTTGTCTATTTTGTTTCATGCTGTTGTTGTTGTTGTTGGTGGTGGTTGTTGGTTGTTTTTTGTTGTATGTTGTTTGTTGTTTGTTGTATGTTGTATGTTGTTCGTTGTTTGTTGTTTGTTGTTGTTGTTGTTGTGGTGGTGGTGGTGGGGGGGTGGTGGTGGCGGCGTTCCAGGATTGACTCTGATGCTGTGCACTGGCCCTAATTCAACCAAAAAGAGGGTTGAGATCCACTGTCTCGTCACTTGAGATCTCTGAAGGCATCATGACATTTGCGGGCGATTGCCTTTCTTGTTTGATCCCATCCGATCCGGAACCCCTGCAGGTGTTGATTACGGCCAACAAGCGTATGTTGCCGGAGGAACTGCTGGAGATGTCCAAGTTGGCAGGTTTGCGCGGCTCCGGCGACTTGCTGATGAATATCAGCTCCTGGACGGGATTAGATAGATGTGGAACTGACCAAAAAACTTGTGCAGTTGCGAAATTCCATGTGACACCAACATGTCCGAAACTCCAGCCGATAGGCTAGGTCGAAGTGATTTTGGGGGTGCGGGGGGAGGTGCGGTAAAGTGGATGAAAACCACGTGGCCTGCTGGTTTTTATATATGTGTTTACACGTTTTTGGCTGGGTTGATGATGCAGAAGATGTAATGTGAACGGTTAGTGCATCGTTTGCAGCAGCAACCTGCTCTAATGACACTATTTAGTTTTAGTTTGTGTATTTGATGTTTGGGTGACATTCTACCAGACTTACTGGTTCACGGTTTTTTACATGTGAAAGGCAAGGCTGGTGACGGTGCAGACGTGGTGGATGAGGAAGCTCTTCTCTTCAAACCATGAGTGTATCTATCCGGCTGGGCTTGGATTCTCGGAAGGCCCACATCCCTCAATCTACAGCCCTACAAAGAGGACTCATAGACAAACTAGGTGGGAAGGACCAGATCTTCTATATACAACAACGAGCCAACATCACCATTACGATCATTCACGTTCGGAAGACCTTTCACCTTTCTTTGTGTTTTCCATGCAGATGTGCAACTTTTAGGATTTTTATAGGTGTGTGCATTTGCTAATCTAGGGTGGCCCTAAAGTTCAGGGTATGGGGCAGGCATGCCATAGGCCCTTCTTCTTGGTTTTCACACTTCCATGGATATTGACTTGAAAAGGAATTGAACTCCCATGGAGATGGTGACACCGCCTTGTAACCAGTAGAAAAGAATGAGCACGTACCTACTTGGGGTGGGCATGCCCTTGACCATCGCCACCGTCCTCGTGCCGACCCTGTTCCCCCGCGCGTTCTGACGCAACGAGGTTTTGTGGACTGGTCGAAGGTGCAGCCCTTCAAGACTCAACTGGAGCTGTTGCGAAGAACGGTGTCTTGGAAACAGGGCGTTTTTTTCGAGCTGTTTCGTTGGAAACAACCGGCAGGTTGAAGATGGTTGAAGCATGTTGAAGCACTGGAGTTTCTGGATGTTGGGGTTTGCAGTTAGGTCATCCAGGTTGTCCTTCAGCTCTGCCCAACAATATCACGATGTGATGTGTCCGGTCACCTCTTTGACACGGCATGATATGAACCGATTCGAAGCAAAGATGGAAGGTAGCATGACTTATATCACTGGCCATACCAACCAATGAAACATCTTCGAGAATGGCTCCAGAAAGGCAACAACTGGTAGTCTGGATGGTCCAGCTTCGAGTGTCAACACACTGTCTATCATTGTCATGTATACACATGTGATTGTGTTATGTATCATTGTATCATTATTCATTCACTGTCTATCCTTGTCCCTGTCGTGTACACACTGTCTATCTTCTGAAGTGCATTTGGTATGACTCCCATCGGCGAGCAGACCGCGGGTCCCGCTGATCGTCGCTGCCTCCGACCGCGTCCGCCCCAGGATGTGCTGGTCTCGGGGATCGGCACCGCGCTCTTCTACTCGGCCTTCTTGCCACCGAACTCTGCCGCTCGTGGAGGGAGGTGGGAAGGCGTCGCGGGGAGCACGGCTTCCCCAGTGCTGACACCATGTTCTATGTCGACAGGGAGCACGGCACTGGCATTTGAACGGAGGGAAAGAGGTGCAGGAAGGATTTGGGGTTTGGCGTCGCGCGAGCGCTACTTGTAGCTGGTGCGCGAGCGCCGGAGTGGATCCATATGGCAGAGGGTCGCAGGTGGTGGGGATCCAGTTCTTCCCCAACAGAAAGGAGCCGGGTTATGAAGGGAGCAACCTTCAGAGGTTCCCCAAGCCCTAGGTGCGGTCCTTCAAGATGTAGTCGTACACGGAGGTGTGCACAGTCCGGGCCGTTGAGTGGTTCATTTGGGGGGGCCCAGACTCAAAGGGAATGCGCTACAGGAACATGGTGCGCTACAGGATGTAGCCACCTGAGAGCAACCACATGTAGCCATGAGGGGGAGTTCCGACCTCGCGATGTTCGGGTACTTTTGCACGACTTTTGCACAGGTCCCTGATTCCTTGAGGTCTTGGATTCTTTTGATGCCCTTGCTTAAGGTCACTTTGGACCTGTAATCAACTTAATCAGACTGCAAAAAGGGGGCGAAGCCGTATGAAATCAATGAAATCCTGAGGTTTGCATCAATACCGGCTGGCGGGATCCTGCGCAGATTCCCACATATGGGGAGGACTGGGTTTCACGGAGACGCGTTTTACGAAGATGCCCGGCCAGTCATGGTTTTTGGGACACCGAGGTACGCTCCCTGAACGGATCATGCAAACCGTTGCAAACTAGCTCCGTTTTGCAGGTCTTCCATGCATGAAGTGTTCTCAGTCCCTTCATCTCCAGTGCATGAAGCACGACCAAAGCCGGTCCGTGCGCCAAGCGAGACCCGTCAGGACGTCCTAGGCATGTCCAACCGCCGCTCGCGGTTCTTATACCTCCCCCTGGAGAAAGTGAGCGGCTCGCTTGGCAGATCAAGGGCATTCTTTTTTGTGTGCCAGGTTTTGCTTGGGTCTACGTGTGCATGCTATAATTTGCTGTTGCAAGTATATTGTACACTGACTAGCTGTATCATGCATACTTCAATGTATGAACCCTTTAGGATTGCACGTCATGAAGTTTGCTAAATGCACCATATTGGCCATGTCTCAGACCAACAAGCTGCTCTTGTAGATTTGACCTTTTGGGGGGTCTCTTCGACTCTTGCCAAGGATGACTGAACAAGGGTCCTTCTCAAAACAGCAAGAACTTCAGGACGGTTCCGGTACAAACACATGCCAGTCAAGGCCCCTATGTCATCAGATATCGTAGGTTTCGAGGAGTTTCAAGTTTCAAAAGGCTTCTAGGTGCTTGACACATGTGACACAAACATGAACCAGGACGTGGGAAAATTGGACTTAAAACTTTAATTATGATCGCCTGTGATCAAGTACTTGTATATGTAACACATGCACACAATGCAATACATATATATATATATATACCATATACCATATACCATACATTACCATACATCATCATCATCATCATCATCATCCCTGCCAGCTCTCCTGGCCTAAAGTCACTGCCGCTTTCCAGTCGTCACGGCGCCGAAGCCACCTTCGATGGGATCCGCCTCTTCAGGACGGGGCGTTACTCCCCATGACGTTGAAGAGGAGATTCTTCACGCCGCGCGCTTGATCGCCCAAGGCCTCGCGAAGCCCAGTGGTCCCGACACATGGCCGAGTCGACGACGAGTCGACTACGAGTGTGTGTTTTGGTTGGGTTTCCTTTATACACGTTCTGACCATTTTCTTAGAATTGTTGACCATTGTTTTGTCAGGGTTTTATCACTACGAAACCAGCTCCACCGAAGTCTTTGAATACATCCATGGGACTGTATTCCATGTATCTACGACCTGATGGGTCAACCAATGACAGTCTTTTGGAGTCGTTGGGGCCATTAGCTTGTCACCTGGACCAGCTGGACCACCTAGAGTCTAGAGGAGTCGTTGTTGCTGTGGTTGCTGATTCCAGGTGGTCCAGATGGACTCTACCGTTCGACTTCGTCGTAGAGGTGCGAGTTGAGGTGCCCTCTTTTTCAAAGGGCACAGAGTTGGGACCTCCACAGAGCAGACATGCTTGGAATGCATTCCAGCGATCTGGGGGCCAGTGCACCAGGACCTTCAAAGGGACCTTTTTGGAGTCTCTGTTTGTGACCTCTTGGAGTCTCTAAGTGACCAGAATCTAGGATCTCAAAAGGTCACTTTGAAGGTCCTGGCAGATGATTTTGATGTTTTCATGTTTTCTTTGTTTCGTTATGCCATATCACATGGTATACCACCGTCCCACCCAAGCTCGCCCGGACACGGTCCACCCACCCAAAAAATCACGGTCCACCCACCCAAAAAATCCTTCACTTCCACCGTACTCGTGTACTTCTATTCTTCCTCACCGCCCGCCGGTCCTCACTTCACCGTACTCGTCTACTTCTCTTCCTCACCCGCCACCGGTCCTCACTTCACCGTAACTCGTCTACTTCTCTTCCTCACTGCCCGCCGGTCCCTCAGTCACCGTGCTCGGTCCTGAAAACCGTGGCTCGTCTAGGTCTCTTCCTCACCTTCCTCAGGAAGAGAACTGGTCGATCTTCGGGCGCATCATGGGGGAGTTGCAGCGCCGCAGCGGCCCGTCCCTGCGGGGCCTCGAGGGACGAGAGCAAGACGACGGCGGCTTCCTGTGCGGCTTCGGCGGACCAAGTGGGTCGCTGGGGGTTGTGGAAGTCGCCGGTGGAAGTGCTGAAGGCAGTTGAGGTGGTGATGTTTATTGGTATTGGTGGTATTCCACTTATTGGTATTGGTATTCCACTTATTGGTGTTTACCAATTATGTTGAAATAGGTGGTATTGGTATTCCACTTAATCATGATTCCAGGGAGTGACTCGGAGGTGTCGAGAGGAGGGCACGAGCCTGGTGAACCAGTTGTGAACGAAGACTGGAACCGAAGTTGGAAGGTTCCCTCGTTGATGAAGTCCAAAGCGGACAGTGATAGGTCAAGTGGACATCACAGGTGGTGCTTCTATCTTTTTATGCCAACGGAGGGTTCAGGTACACTCGCAGGAATCATCATGGAAGTGGTTGGCACATGGTATTCGGAAAATTGTCATCCAAGGGGCCATGTTCCACTTCCATGATAATTCCAAGGAATGCATACCCCCCTCTTGAAAAACCTTGAAAAAACCGCCCGTCGGTAGACATGGTCTTCCAAGATGCGGGTCTATGTGATCTCCGAAAGACTTCCGCAGAAACCTTCTTTGACCACCATGGGTAGATTAGCACTGCAAATGCCATTTATTGCATGGTGTAAAACATTGATTCACAAGTAAGTAGACTTCCCAGTTTGGAATCGGCGGTCTAAACCCTCGATCGTGAGGACACGGAAGTCTTGGAGGCTGTTTTGGGGGTCTTGGGGTTGCTCATGATTGGGTTGCTCATGATTTACCCTCTGGGAATCAACAGAAGTGGAAAACGCTCTGTGAGTTGAGGAAAACCGTCTTCCTGCCCAGGGCCAGTTCTACTTCCATGTTTGTTGGAGTCCGAGGGTAGATGATTTAGTTCACTGTGAAGCATGGTGCAAGCTTGTAGGGTCAATGGATTCTGGACAGATGGTGACCACCTTTGCTTGTGGATGATGCTTTCGTTTGGGTTATGTATTCTATGTGAAAAGTATGGTGGAGTGGCCGACCAACGAGAATAAGGACACACACACATATATATATATATATTTATATATCACTTATGGTTCTCTTCAACGCTACTTGCGGGCACAAGTGCAAACACACATCATTTGTATTCATATGTTTGGGATTGTTTGGGTATTTGGGGCACATATAACATGTAGGTTCAAAGCATTGGGCCAGACCGTCTTCGGTGTGTCATATTTATTTCCAGACGTTCCCCCCAGCCCTGCGGCGTGAACAGGGCTCGGTCCGGCGTTCGGTTTCGACGACTCGCTCCAGGTCACCAGAGGCCCACCGGACAGACCTCGTTGTCGGCCCCTTGGCGGAGTCCACAGAGATGGGTTTGCCCGGTTCGGCCGAAGTGGGAGGAGGAAATAGACGAGTCTACCCAGCCCAACTGGGGTTTTTAGAGGGGGAGGAACCTGGATGGACCTGCCTTGCTCCGGATCTAACGGGGATTCGAGGGTGCCAGTGGCCAGATGTTGTGTCTTGTCATCGCAATCACAGGAAAAAGGCCGCTACTCTAAGGATTCCACAGTTGGCATCGCCTTTGCAATGCCAACCTATTCCATGACCCTCATTCGATTAACACCCGGCGGTATAAAAAGCTTTTGATATCTCTTTATATCCCTGGTTCTTCTAAGTGACCTTTTGATCTCCTGGTTTGGGGTCACTTAGGCCTGCAATAATTGGTCACTTAGGGACTCCAAAAAGGCCACTTAGAAGAAGCTGGTCAGGGAGTCAGGGGTTTTATTCATCAAGATTTTCAGGGGCTTGCAAGGCCTTGGAACCCGGTAGCGAGTTAGAGCTTAGGTTTCACTGTTCGCTGTGAACCTAGCCCTGACCTCTGTTCACGTATTCATCAAGATTTTACATTACTTGCTGGGCCTGGCATCACCGGCATCCCAGACTGGTGCGCACCATCGGCATCAGCGAGAGAACCGGCAGACCTTGAGAGGATCTCAAAGGTGTCAAAAGGGGGGTCAAGCTGTACCAACCATTTGGCCACCAGCACGCCGATCCTGTAGACAGCATCATGGGCTGCTGGCTGGGTTTCATGCGCTTTTGATCGCTTTTGCACCAACTTTTATATGCCAACCCCTTTGAGTCCTTCCAGTCGACCAAGTTTGCTCAATGTTCCCGCGGCCGCGGCACGAGGATTTGGTTTTCGAGCGAAGATTAGATGTGACACGGCAGCAAGAGACGCGCCTTCCCCCCATAAAACAACCATGTTTCCAGCTTGAACCTCAAGCTCGATGAGAAGTTCATCGGCTTTTGCGTCAAGCGAATTGCTCGCTTCACTTGGCTCAGATAGGTCGTCGACAAGTCGTTGCTCAAGATAGGTCGCTGAGCTTGAGAGTTCAGAGCAAAGCCTGCAAAGAAAGGACAGGCCGCCGAGTTGGCAAGTCAGCTTTAAGCAAGAAAACTCAAGATTTGGATGTATCAGTATGAGATAGTACTACTAGCCCTCTCAACAAACCCTCCCTCGAGTTTTTCAAACCTTTGTGGGTTTGCTCTTTCAGGCGAAGAACTTGCTCTTTCAGCCTGGCTACACCACGCTGACTGACGCCTGCCAACTGGATGTCGCCTTGCTCCGCGGCTCCGGCAGCAGCTTAGTGGATCGTACTCCACCGGATTCCCGGCCAACCATTGATTACCCTCCCTGCAACAATCATGGAAGTGGACAACCCCCTCTTGGTAGAGGAAAGTAGTCTTCCTTTCGGGGCCACGCCATCCACGTAACCATGATTGTTTCAGGGGAGTGTAACTGTAATGGGCTAGGCTCGCGCTCCTTTTTTTCGGAAGAACCCATTGTTTTACTATGTTGAACTAAGAAGTTCAGTCATTTCAGGTAGTTTGATGCTCAACCTTTACATTACTTGGACTGACTGAACCCACGAACCCACGGACTGATTGAATCTCAGATATATTGTTCAAGTGAGTTGAAACTTCCAACCAGTTATGTTTCATCCAGGTGCCTTCGGCTTTTCAATGCCTGGAGGATGTGGTGTAATGGCCAGCATCGATGCAGTTGAAGATGCTCAGGTCAGATCAAGCGCAAGTACAACCTCACAGAAGCCTTGGGCCTTCCACCTATGGAGTGTGAGTGTGTGGCGTGCGAAGCATGCGGTTTTGGCTGACGGGCCACTACTGCGACAGCGCAGTGGCTAAGCGGCGACTCTGACGGCTCTGCCGCAGCGGATGTCCTGCCTGCGCCTTCGTGATCGAAAAGGACCTGACTGAATATGCTAAGGAGCCAGGCTTTTTTAGGCGACATCCAGTAAGTCCTGGGGCACGGACTGGATGATCCCACCATGCGAAACAAACCGACCACGGAGCCCAAGGAGCCGAAGCTAATGGATGGGAGGAAGCTGATGGATAATTCCATCCATTCTCATCCGTTCTCACTGCATGCAAGACACGAAGACCGAAGACACCATCCTTCTCTCACTCAAGAGAGCGAGTAGCTCACGGAACAAAAACACTCAAGATGTTGCTGAAAGGCCCAATGCTATGTTGACACCTTTTCAGTCTGCGGGTGTTTCTGTTGCACAGCGCTGTTAACAGATCTTGGGTCCTTGCTGCAACAGATGGCTCTCGGAATGAAAAAACATGCAAAAACCACCGCATTTGACCAAGACTTCTGGTTTGGGGTCCTGGCTCCACACGTTGTCATGCCCAGAGCTGCGCAGTTCATCCAATAAGCAGTTCAACTGGTGAGACCGCACACCACCACCACCACCGCCACCACCGCTACCACAGCCGTGGGTAAAGGAAGCCCGTTCCAAATTTGTTTGTCTATCTGATTTTAAACCAATTGTACATCCTTGTGCCCCTTTTGGTCCTTTGCTGGATTCATGCTTCATAGGCCCACTGCCAGCTTCAGCCAGGTCACTGACTGGTGGGTGGTGGCTGAATGCAACAAGCCTTGTGGTGGTGGCCAGGCTCGACCGTCCGGGGGGAAGCCAGCCTTCGGAACGAAGCAGCCAGGACGAGAAAGCTGGAGTTGTGAAACCAGCCCCGCTCCCAGGGTGCAGACACATCTGGAAGTCACACAGGTTGACTTCTTTTCGGTCGGTTCATCATCATGGGTCCAAGAGTGATTTGAAGAGATGTGCGGCGAGTTTGGCTGACTGATTTGCATTGCTCAAACCCGTGGCAACCCATGGTATATAGCAGATCCAGGTTGTTGACCCACATCATGAAAGCACAACAACCTCGACCTCCGACTGACTGCTGTTCACGTCCTCGACCTGCCAGGTGTCGATGAAGAGGGCGATCACCCAAGAGGCCGATCGGCCTCACCCGACCCACGAACCGATCTCCGAAAACCACTCCGAAAGCGTCCGAGGTTCTCAGTTTGGAGTTGGGAGATAGCTGAAGCAGGCTTAAGGATAGAAATCTGACAAGTACGTAGGCTTAAGCAACGGCTAAGCCTTAAACGATCTCTACCAACAGCTCTTCCAGTTGTTTAGGCTTTGTTCAATTTGGATCGAAAGCGTTTGGGTGACATCACATCGAAACGGTCTTCAACATGGCCTGCACGATATAGGAGGGTGTGGCCCAAAGGGTCGGAGTGGTGCTTTACTCGAGGGGCCTACAGGGGCTTAATTCTGCTTGATATCTCGGCGTTTCCTGCACATCCGCGAGACACTGATACACTTGATGGGCCTTTGTATAGTTACGTGCTTTGTCTCTATCAGCGCTAGAGCGTCTCACGCTCTATAGACGCGTTTGTCTCACGTGAGTCGTCCAAGCGCGAGAGTGGTAGTCTGATTGTTGCAGAATCCAACTTGGGAGTCTCCTTCCAACTCCACCTGTTGGAGACCTGTCACGGAGCGTGCTGCTACGAACAATGTATGCATGGATCGCATTGATGAACTTGATAGAGAGTCATGACAACTCACAGTTTCACTCCAAGAGGGCATGTTGTTTTTTCACGTTGGACCTTCCAACAGCTCGGGTTGTGAATTCCAGCTCCTGTTGCCCCATACCCATACCATCCATGATATTGGGATATTGACCGATCAGTTGGCGCGGTTGACCCGGGGTATCCCGGGGTCAATGTAAATATGCCAGTCCCATGGATGATCTGGGGTATATGGATCCCAACCCGGAATTTCTCCAACCTTTTGAGCCGAACCGATGGAGTTTTGAGGGTTCGGTCCAGAAACCTATGAAAAGTCATGAAAAGTCCAAGGATTCTTCCCGACCTGCTGGGTGAGGGTTGTTAGATTTTATCAGAACTGTCCTTTTCCTGCCGCCTCCTCCACAAGTACCAGACCGCAGTGGGCACCACCGGACCTCAACCACGTGTGCCAGCTTGCAGTGGGCACCACCGGACCTCAACCGCGAGTGCTCGATCGCAGTGGGCACCGCGGGACCTCAACCACGTGTGCCATAGATCGCAGTAAGCACCACCGGGCTTGAACCAGACAGAAATAATTTCAGCAATTACGCAAAAAGATATGCTCCATAGAATGCCGGAAATTTTGCCAGGAACGAATACCAGACTAATGGAAACCAGAAAATAGACAAGATAGAATGCAAGAGTTCATGCCATATAGAGTGCCAGAATATGCCAGATAGAATGCCGACATATTAATCAAATAGAATACCAGATTTTGTGCCAGATAGTATGCCACAATCAACTACATGCAAGAATGTATGCTAGATAGAATGCCCGAATATATGCCAGAATGCTTGTATATTTGCAAGATTGGCACTTTCTTGGTGATGTTGCAGGAATTTAGCCGTCGGTTGTCAGCAGAATATAATACCATAGTGGGAGTCACCTGATGTAAAGACAGAACAGTTTCTATTCTATGGTTCCACATGCCCCTTTGAGTGGGGGATTGGTGCCACTTTGATGTAGGCGCCAAGAGGGTCCAGTCGTAGCTGCTGAGAAGGTGGCAGCGGACCCCCAGGTTGAACATCAGGAAATGGGTACAGTCTTGGAAACCCAAACTATATGGTTGTTCCAATATGGCAGTTGCGTTCCTTTAGATATAAATTGAGGTTGTGAAGCAATCCTTTTGGCTTTGATTGTTCCAGGGTCATACCATCCCTTTACATTTGTGGGTTTCCCGGGTCATAGCGATTTTATTTATATGTCTTTATCGGGTCAGGAAGTACCTATATAGTATTCCTTGAAGTCGGATCCAGGAAGATGAGTCCCTCCAAACCCTTTCGTTTTTGGGAAAAGTGGTTCCCCGATCCCAGCTTCAACCAGGCCACCGGTGGCGGAGAAGCATGCCCGAGCCAATCGCAGCTCGTGAAGGCGAAACCTTCGCGGAATGCGTTTCGCGTGTGTGACTGAAACATTTTTGCGGAGTATTTTTGGTGTCAGCCTTGTCAGAAAGCAACATATGGCTATCCGGCCTCTGAAGAACATTTCCAACATTGGAAGCTGAAACCGCTCGATTACAACGTTGCAATGTGTTGAAACAGGATAAGTTATGTTAAGTGTGGTAAGTCTGGTAAGTGTCATTGTGATAAATACGATATGATACGGCTAAGCTGGTGCATGCTGCATACGGGTGCAACATTGTCAACACGATTTGACTGTATATTCCAGTTTATTACACATATTCATATAAATAAATATAGACTATAAAACGCAGTTTCCCTTTGCACTTGGTGTCATTCTTGGCAGGTGGAGGAATGCAACATGAAGCCTTGCCCATTGGCACGTTTGGACCGCCCCATGGCGAACAGAGCAGCGTCGGGATTATGCCATTTACTCTCGATCCACTAGCATCGAGATGTCGGACTTTCTGCAATCATGGAATTGATCCAGCGGAGCGCAACAAATGAGTCTATAGTCTATAGTATTCTATAGTGTTTGAAAAACCATTTGTGACAGGAAAGATGCACATGTGACATGTGAGGAAGAAACTGCGGGTGGCTAGCAGGTTTCCCCCAATGAACCCGTATGGCTATAGAATGGGTGTGATGAAAGGATAGGAACAGTATGGAACAACACATATGTATGTACTACTACTACTACTACTACTACTACTACTACTACTACTACTGCTGCTTACTATCTCTACTACGACGACGACGACGACGACGACTACTACTACTACTATCTCTACTACTGCTGCTTACTACTACTACTACTACTACTACTACTACTACTACTACTACTACTAATAGTAGTAATATAGCTGGTGATCGCCAATGATTAACTGAGATCGCCAGCAAATCAGATAGACAACTTTGAGAGCAGAAAACGTCCGTAGCGTGACCGTGACCACTGATTCGCATGGGAGTATGGCACACCGGTCCAAACTTGTCAGTATCCTGGAGGCCTCTTGAGGCCTACAAGAGCCCTAGCCTTGTAAGACTGAACAGAATGGTTGACGTGGTTTTGTGGTCTGACGTCCCTAGTGAAGAATTGCTTTTGGTCAAAGACAATCCAAACAATGGATGCTGGAATTTCAGGGAGGGTGTGTTTGTTCTTGCACCAGTCATGCATTGTTTTGCCTCCTCTAATTTGGGTTCAGATACAGCTGCTGAGGTGTGACCTTCAGTCCCGCCAAGATATATGCAGGTGCGCCAGATGAAAACCAGCTTCAGTATGTGATGAGACATGTCCACTGCATGTGAGCGTATACGAAGGCTTCCTACTATGCTTCCGGCCACCCGACGTGACAGGATTCTTTCTGCAGAAGAGGTGGCTAAAACCTGAACAACCGTGTTTTGCGGGTATAGCTTTGTGAATGTCAATGTTTCACAGCTGGTCCGCTGGCTTTGTGCCATCCCCTTGGTGTCTTGCGCTTGGGTCCTCATGTGCCCTTTCTCGCAGAATGCGCTGACCGTCAGCTGACTGTCGGTTCCCGGTCGCTGACTGTCGGTCTCTCGGCAGGAAGCCCTTTCCAAATCACCATCGAGGGCGAGTGGCTGGATCCAGACATGGACAGCCAGGGCACCCCGGGCGCGGGGCACGGCATCGGGAGAAGGGCGCACGGCGGACCGGCACGGGACCGGCGGGAGGGTGATCCGAGGCGTCAAGCAAGGGCTTCGCGAACTCCACGTAACCATGTTAGTTCATGGTAGTTCCAGGGAGCATAGGATTATGAGTCCAAACCCTGAGGACCCTTCAATGGATTCTCAACAGGAGGGCTTGGCGGCTTGAAGCAGCTGGTTTGAGCTACGCATGCCTGAACTCTTCCAGATTCCGCAGCGATCCCACCGAAAAAGCCGCCTTTCCCAAGGTGACAGTCTGACAGATACAAGCCGGATGTCACTTCCAAGCGATGTCCACTTTGGATTCAATAGCCAAGAGCATCAAGTTGCAAACCGCAGATAGAGAAGCAAACGCACAGTGAGAAGAGAGGTTTATATTCTTTCTACAGTTATACGAGGTTTTTTGCACATGCATATATGATTACTATAATTGGATTAGACTATATCACTGCTTGGCTTCACTGAGGCATTCTGATTGTGGACGAGGAGACGGAGTGTGGGCAATCGCAGGTGCGCTGTGCTTTTCCGTGTGAAGAATCTCTTCCGCTGCCGCCAACTGGACAGTAAGGGTGGTCAGATGTTTATACTATGGAACTCTCGCCTATCCAGCAATCAGCATGACTCGTAGTGGTAACTGAGTTTGTTTGTGTAGCTTGAGGAAGCTCGAAATTGCTTAGTCTTCTTTTGTTGCATGCTTGTGCCTCCAAAAGTCATCAAGAAAACAACGCGGCCTGTGAAGCTTTCAGAGAGTATCGTTGACCAAGCTGGCCAAGCTGCCCATCGAAGCATTTGGTGGTGGTATTTATTCCCACGGCAGAAAAGGTTTCTGCTCCCCTCTGAGGCGCATCATGGTGGAGCAGCATGCAACGAGTTTAGCTCCAGTGGCTACCGATTGGTTTGTGGCAATGGTGCCAGAGCTCGGCTGTTTGGAGCGGGTCAGCGTCAACATCGATCTTAGTTACACTCCCTGGAAGAGGTCCACATGGAACCTGAAAACCTCTCGGTTGTACAGGAAGAAAGTCTTCCAGTCTGGTCCATGTTCAGCTTCGGTGGGTCTCTTCCCGGGTGTACACTGGAATCATCATCGTGACGTGGGTTCTCCACCTGTTTGGTATGTGGAAAATTCATGAAAAACGTAATCCTTTCTGGGGCCAGGCCATCCATGCAACCATGATCGATTCTAGAGAGTGTAGGTCTGAGAGCGGAGCAACGCGAAACCCCGATTTGGGGCAGCAGTTGTTCTTCCTGGTGAGCACCAGTGAATTCGGTTGACCCGTGACCAGCTTCCTTCCGCTGGTTTTGTAGTCTAAATTCCTTATACTTATATAAATTGACAATGGCTGTTCGGTGAAACCTACAGTAGACCCCACCTTGCCTTGTAACCTCAAGAAATCCTTTTGGAGCGATTTGATCGCGACAATCATGCTTGATCCGGTCAGGCTCAAGGCTTTTCACCCAGCCAGCCAGCCATCCATCCATCCATCCTTCCGTCCGTCCATCCGTCCATCCATCCAATCAATCAATCAATCCATCTTCCCCAATATGGTTATGCTTCACTGCCCCACTCTCCCAGAGCCCCCAGGGAAAAACACAAATATATATGTATATGTATATACACGCCCCCTTTGTGTCCATCCTGGAGAGCCTGAACTTCGCATCGTCAGTGCTTGGAGAATCTTGGAGAAATCCCATCACTTGAAGCTCCAGCCCAATGAAAAGACCATAAGCATAACCCTTCACCCTAAGAATCCAAAGCACCCTCAAGCATGAAGCTGTTATCCGGATTCCAACAGAACATCAGGGTGTGGACGTCGATCCAAACCCTCCAGGGCGGAGGATCCCATTTGGGGGAATCGAAGTTCTTCATCCCTGTGGGTCTGGGTTGATAAATCCACCTATACACAGGACATACTGACAACAAAAACCCATGTGACACACTCAGGACATACTGACAATCCATCCACCCATTGCTTCATCCCTTTCGTATTGTCTTACCAAAAAAAAAGTTTCACATGGCCTCACTGCCATGGCTGATTCCTTCACGAGTGGCGCCGCGACGGCCGTTTGCGTCAGGGGCGCGACCGGATGGTCGATGTCCATCAATGGGGCTGCTGGGATGAGGGTATGGCAAAACAGAAAGAAAAAAAACCAACGGCCCAAGCCCTGGAAGTTGAGTTTGCCCCATGGTTTGCGATGGATTCAAGAAAATCATTGACAATCTTGAAGTTGGGTTGTCAGACCATTCCAGGTTTTGACGGCACGCACATCAGACCATGTCGACTGACTGAGTTTGCTCAAATGACATTTTTACTCTCCTTTACTGACTTCTCAAGCGTCACATCATCTTCAGCCATTTCTCCAAGCTCGCAGGTGATATGGCGTCCTGAATCGTAGACTGCCCTGTCAGAAGTGGTGTATGCTTTTGAGGATGCGGTGTCCCTCCCAAACGGATGGGAAGCTTTCCGAGAATTTCCTTTTGTTTTGTTTGGTCTTTCTTGAAGAGGGGGCTCTAAAACATTGAGCATCCTGGTTCACGCTGCGATAGAGATAGACTGAAAGGGTTCATCCAATCAGGTCTTCAAGGACCTCAGTGTTCACGGGATCCGATGGTGCAAAAAACCCTGTTCAATGAGGTCAAAGAACCAGGTTTTACTTGGTTCTTGGACTGGTAGGGTGGAGGTGTCTCTTCTGTGTCAACGACTGGGGGGGCGATGCCGTTTGCCACCAAGGAATACATCCGCACAGCTGCTTTGCAAGATGGCCGGGCCGTGACTCAGCACTGAAACACCGCATCTCCACAGCTTGAGAACCTGGAGGTCGACTTGTCAGTACCTATAAAAAATGGGTACTTAGGGTCGTGTCCCTTTTTGTAAGAGTACTTTGTTGCAGGGTCCAGGTAGTACACCAAAATCGAGGAACAGGTATAGTTACTAGAGGTACTTGATGTAACTTAATTGTGGATGTTTGTGGCCAAATACCCTCCCGGTGTGCTGTGTTGGTAGGTGGCAGTTGAGTCAAGTGTGGAGTATATAGATACTTGTTGCAGGCGTGGGTCCGCAATGAAGTGCTGTTTTCGACCAGGGACGACTTCTTTCGACCGGGCAGTGACCGAACGGACTCGATCTTCAGAAACCCGATCTCACCTCGCATTCCGAAGTCCGTCACTTCAAGTCCTTGTGGGCCCAAGTGCACTCATCCAGACGGTCAAACGGAGGGAACGAGACGTCGCGCAGCCGACGTCGCGGCTCCGAAGGTCGGCTGAACTGAGGTCTTTCGGAAGGCGGACTCCTCCAAGGTCTTGGCCTACAAATCCTCTCGCCGCGCCTGGCTGGTGAGCCGCTCGCTCCTGGGCGGCTCCTATGCGCAGTGCGGTGGTCCTGTGACCTGATTGAAGCTTTTGGAAAAGGGTTGAAAAATGGTTCAATTGATATACCTGGATCATCCAAGATGTTAAATCAGGTTTTTCATCCCAACCTCAAAGATCGGTCGACCTGTTGGAACTTGGCATATCATCCGCATGAGACTGTGCATGTCGCCAGCCATGTGCCATGTGCCTCTCTGAGATCATGGTATCTTGGAAGGGACTAGCTCTTGCTCAGGAGGGAGCTAAGGAGGCAGGGGCATCCATACTTCCCATTAAACAGGGAGCCAAGGACCTACAGGGTGCTCCCAAACCCCTTGCTAGGGGAGGGCGATGAGATGCGAGGCAGCTGCAAAGCCAGCTGTGCACGATCCATGAGCCGTTTGCAAGCGTCACCGTGAGCCCGCGTGACGAGCATCGACCAGTTTTGGGGGAGCCACGCGTTTCCTCGGAATTGTCACCATGTTTTTTGAAGGCAGCTCGACCCCCTGGAAGAAGGATGATTATTAGACCCAAACCCTCGGCCAGGGGTATTGAAATGCACACCCAGGGCGCGTCCATCCGCGTCCCACTACCAGTAGCAGCGGGTAAAGCATGCTCACTATTTGGGGGGAAAGGCCTGCCGCCTAACCATCATCATTTGTTACTGGCAATGGGATATACCCAATGCACATCATCATCATCATCATCATCATCATCATCATCATCATCATCACCATCACCATCATCATCATCATCATCATCATCATCATCATCATCGTCCTGTTCGAAGGTCGATGCCAATTCTCAGGATGTTCTGAATCCAACTGACATTGAGTCGTGTACCGTGGGAATGGCTGCTCATTCGGATGCTGAGCTGCAAAGGTTTTCCGAAGAGGGCCCTCAAGGACGGAAAGGGGATGGAAACCCTACCAGTCCAGTTTGACCCAGTAAAACCTGCGTCTTTGACCTCCCTAAGCAGCGTGTGTGTTTGTGTGTGTGTGTGTTTTTGGGTTGTGACCAGTTCCACGAAATTGAAATCATGAACCCGTAGGGACATATATTACGATAAGCCCCTAAGAACATACGTACACTTGAGAGGGTTCCTATTTCGGGCTGTTTGTACGTGCATCTCACATGGGGCAATGCACGGAATGCATGCCAGAGCGCAGGGCCCGGAGGCGCTACTCAAAACATCTCAGGACACATGTTCCCAGTTGAGCGCAACCACTATATCCCGCCATACGGCTTGTGGATGCATACCTTGGTAGGTTGACCATGGTTGACCTCCTATAGGTCGTCCATTCTGTTCATTTTCTCTCGGTCAAGCCAGGTAGCCCGGTTTTGACCCACACCCATACAGCTTGTGGATGCATACCTTTTGAGGAAGGGGGAGTATGGAGTCATGATATGGCTCAATTCCAGGTTATTGCTCTGAAAAGTCTCATCAAAGGCTGGTGCTTCCGAAGCACCATTCTTGTGAGGGAGGTGTTGCGCAACCATCGATTAATTTGTTCAGTACTGCATTGCTGCATGACGCGTGGTATACGCGTGGTACACACATGTGTGCCAAAAAACGGTGAGATGCACATGTGTTTGTGTGCTCAGGTTGAGGTCCAGGACATGCCTTTGCCTCGAGAACTCTTGGTCTTGGGCCAGGTGGCGCAAGAACTCGGCCTGGAGGGCACCTATTGCCGCGAGGAGGCCGATGGTATTGGGCGGCTGGCAGTGGTCTGGTGAGGTATTTCTGGGTGGTGACGGCCTGGAGAACCCTGTTAGGAAGTGGGATGGCCTGGACCCAAATTCTCCACATGGCCAGGTGTTGCTTTCTTCACGTGCCATCCATGATTCTCCATGTGAATGACTCGGAGAGTACTGACTTATTATCATATGGGTGTATGGGCTGATTTTCAAGTCAGTGGAAACCACCAACCAGGATTCCCGGACTGGTCAAGACCAATGGACGACTGCGTCATACTTCGTCACTGCGGTCGGCCGACAGGCAGACAACAAAACTGATGTTCTGCAGGGTTCACAGACCGGTATGTTGTGAACGCCATGGTTTCCGGTAGATGTTAAACTCAACCAATGGTATAATATATATATATATATGCTGCATGTATATAGAGGATCCGCTTGGATCGGGAATATGTATCTAAAGACCAAGGCGTGGCTTTCAATGAAAGCTATGGAATGATGGACTTCTGGACATGAAATGAGTACTGCCTGGCAGATGTAATCCTTTTGCGGTTATACAGTATATTGATCAAAGATGATCAAAGTAACTACTCTGTGCACCCAGGTGGGCCCTGCAATGTTTCGCACAAAGGTACCTGGCAGAATGGCTCCCAAGGCTCCCAAGACCATTGAAAGAAAGGTCGACTTGGTTTTAATATGGCAAACTTGTCAAACGATGGTTGTTCGGATTGAATCAACGGTGGTTGGAAGCCTTTTGGCAGTAATTAATCTGGCAGTATCCAAGCATAAATGCTGACTGACTCAAGAAGTACACTTTTTGGCCAAGCTGGTGGATGCGGTGCGCCGCTCCGGCGCACCAGACTCAAACCGCCTGACTGCTCCGAGGCTCCTTCGATCTTCCCCGACTTCCGACGCTGCGACGCCTCGGGGCCTCCGAAGGGATCCATCTCGCTGGCGTATCAGAATGGCTCTTGGAGCTTTTTCAGGCAGAGATGAGCCGCATCTGCAGCGGAGTGCTTTTTAACGGAGGGCGAGCGTAGCAATTCATGAGCCCTTCACTATATCGCCCTTCTAGAATGTGGTTCTGGCATATATTCCTCAGTGCTTAGTGTGTCCATTTGGGGAACCACTTCACAGAAACGGCCCTCAACGCATGGAAAGCACGGATCCATCGCCCCCATCGGTCGTTCACCGCCTTCGCCTGACGCTTCCACAGGCGCGAGCGGGAGGTCGGCGGTGCGCGTGACGCCGAGCTCTCCGCTCCGCGCTGTGCGAGCGACGCGGTGCGCCCGGATCGCTTGATCTCCAGCTGCTTCGGCTACTCCGACGCCGAGCTCTCCATCCTGCCGGGAGGGACCGGTGGTGTGGGCACACTGGCACAATGGACAGGGCGCCGGAGGACTGTGGACACCGGGAGGGGGGGCGGTTTCCTTCCTTTTTTGGGGGGGGAAGTGTTGGAGAATGTTGGTGACATGAGCTTCAAGATCTCAGGCTGTTTGCATTAGTGTTTGAGTTTTAGACTGTTTGACAGTTGTGGGGGTCTCTTTTTGTCCTGTGTTGGATACTACGCTTCTTGGGCTACCTTTCGGGTGACCTTGAAGAGATCAAGGGGCAGGATTGATGCACAGCCTCAGAATGCGGATTGACATGTTCTGATCCTGAGAGCGCAGTTCGGAAGCTCCTGACGCACTTGATGCACTTTGTTCCGTTCAAAATGTCTCGAAAGGTAGCCAAGGGCTCACTTTTTTCTTCAGAATTATTAAGCCTCGGGCAGTGGGGCTTGGGTTGTTTGAGAGGGGGGCGGTTCTGTTTTCTGTGAATGCTCGGGTGGTGTTGTATGGATGTGGATGTGAGCAAGAACTAGTGGCTGAGTGTTGTTCTTTCCAGCTTGCGCATTTGGCAAGAAAAGTAATTCCAGCATCACTGTAACCACTCCAAACTTTTGTGAAACACATCTTTTTCCATTGGTCCGTTTCGATCAACCTGCAGAACGTACGGGCTGACATTCTATTTGTTGGCTGTGCGGAACCGACATGACAGGCCAATTCATGAAACAATGTTTTGCACATTCTACGAAGGAGATTGAAGGAGAACTCAACTAGTATAGCACTCATCAGATCCGAGTTTCGTGAGATCTCTTTCTTTGGCTTTTTTGGGTGACGAGTCCCACCATGTTACACACCCAAACCATTCATGGGACTGGCACATACTTGGGACGGTTCATTTCGGGTGGTTCACCGCCCCCCTGGTGCTTCGCGCACCGCTCCACAGCCAAGGTCGCGCGGCACCGCTCTTGGAGCTGGGGGGTCCCGAGTTGGGCCCTGCCGCGCATCTGCGGGGCGAATATGTGCGGAGTGGCCATCACCACGGGCGCGCCGCGTATGTGAAGCCGGGCGGGTCCATGCGCTTGTGCCTGGGAGAGGCAAGAACTCCGGGAGGAGGAGAGGTCTGAGGCAAGTGGTGCAAGAAGGGGTCATTGGAATATATTATTGGAATTGGAGGGTCAGTGGATGTAAGAACGATCAATTGATTTTTTTGCTGGGACGCGAACCGTTTTTCGAGGGGTGTAATAAACGAAACTTTTGATGGTATTTGATGATGAGATCAGTTGTGCGCATGGTATGGATCAAGGTTTCAACACTTCGTGTGGACCTGTTGTGCCATGAGGTTTTACAGTCACGACCTGGGTGGTTGGCATGTGGCCAACTCCTTTGCCGGTGGCCTTGCACAGCAGATGGACGCGTGCGCGTTGAAGGTGGAGGACCTTCAAGGCACATGGCAGGCGTGGCAAATGCCGCCCAAAAGCCATTCTTGGTCCCCTGTATGAGCCATTCATGTGACATGTGCCATGTTTTCTTGCTTTAGCCTGGGAAGATCTGGGAAGCCTTTTTTGCCCCATGGTTTTGTATGGGGTATGGCTTGGGTCCTATTACCTGTAACAGTCAGTAAACAATTATTACTATTTTTGGACCATCATCATTCACTGTTACAGACTCGGATAGGCCCAAGGTATGGCACCAAAAATTACCATCAACATGGTGCCATCCAGCATACACATGCCATCACGGCCACGCCACAACCGCAAGATGCTTGGAGCATTGGCTCAGCTGCAGGTGTTGAATCACCAGGGCCAAATGCAAGAGGTACCTTTGGCTTTGATGCTCGGCGAACTCGCCGTCCTGTTGGAGTTTGTGTTGGAGTTTTTCAGGCAACACCGGCGCACGTGTAGTTTCTGGTATAATAGATGTGCTGGATTTGCGATTGAATGTGCATTTTTCTGAGGTTTGAGCATGTTTGAGCCATACCAAGGCATTTGCCATAGCTGTGTTCGCCATGCTTTCTCAAGTCTGAGCCATGCTCAGACCCAAGGAACATGAAGGAACCAATGGAGTGCTTGGTGGAATTTATGAGGGTTTGGACGTAAGTTGATATACCAACTTGCTCCCTTGTGGATCTAGGTCCGCCATGGGTCCAAAGTCCTGGGTACTTTTGAAACTGTGGCCAGAGTCACCCTGGCGGCCACAAGGATCCATATGCCAGATGGATTAATCATCGCACGGTCAGTCCATGGCTTTGCGAGCCATGAGACAATTCTTCACCAAGTGCTTCGAGCACTTCGCAGACTTATCAGCCTCAGCGGTATGTTGTTGATATCTGATGTTCCCCCCGTCCCCAAAATGGTGGTGCTCAGCGGTATGATTTGACCGTCTCAGGATGGCAAGAGCATCACCTCCATGGTTGAGCTTCACTGGTTGGCCTGCCCATCTACAGATGTTGCAAGGCCAGGCCAAGATTCCTCGAGAGGCTTCGTGAAACGACCGACTGTGACATTGACAGGGTCAGTTGGGGGCATTCCCTCCGAGCGACGGAGTTCCCCAAACCCTTGCCAGCCCGGAAGCCGGAACCCGTTTGGCCAACTGCATCCCAACGTGGTGTTTGTGGACCTCAATCTACTGTAAAAGACATGGTAGGGGGTTGTGCCATCTGTGGAGACTGAGCATGATTGAGACCTGCTTGCATTTGCTGAGCTTCATGTCAAGTGGAGGCGACTATCACTTGCTACCCGATTTCGACTGGCTTGGCCGACCATCCTATGCCTTGCATGTGCTCCTCAGATCCAAGTTCAGATCGCATTGCGATGTGCTAGATGTACTTGTATGACATGTATGTAAACTAACAAATTGATACAAATTGAAATATCCAATTGCACTTGGCGCTGGCTTATTGCTTGTGAGATTTCTTTCCAGCTATGTGGCTCCTGCTTTTGCTTTGGCTTCTGCTTCGTAGCGCCTGCTTTTGCTACGTCACACTGATCCTTTGACTCTTATCGTTGTTACGAATGAGTGTGTATGGGAAACGATCGTGGAGCAAGGGGCGAGTTCAATAGCCACGCAAGGGTGAAATTTAGAGATTCCGATGTGGCATACCATTAGGCTCGCCCGAGGGCTCACCACTCAGAGGAGAAAGGAGCCATTCGCCGCATCCCTTCTGTGATGTGAGTCACCCGACCATCCGACGGTTGGCAGGCAGCAGCGTTCCAACGTAGCATACCTCTTATGAGCCCCCCTGAGGGGTTTGTGGAAGGGGCCATTCCAATGTAGACCATTTTTGCGAGCCATCTGTAAAACGGTGTCGGGACCTGGCTTGGCACCATCCAGTTGATCATGTTCTGAGGGCTGGGCTAAAATTATCACGTTCTCTCTACCATTCTACCATATATAGGCTTCCAACCACCATTGATTTGATAGTCTTTGCTGAACAACAATTGTATTTGTACTATATATATGTTATAAGGATTTTACAACACTAGGTCTTGGAAGGCTACGGCTAGGGTCCGGGTCGCATATATTACTTCTTCGAAAATGACCATTGTCAGCCCAGATTAAACCTGTTGTCATGCTTCAGGGCGGCTCCACTATCACGACTCATGACCATCATAACTTGTTCAGATTGATCAAAGTAGACCACAGATCCAGGCCCAAGTTGTTGGAGTGAATGATGTGTTTGTTTTTGTTTGTCCCGAGGTCGCAGAAAGACTTGGGCATGCTTTGCGTGAAGTCCATCATTTCCTGTGCTAGTCGGAAGGTTGCATTTGCAGTGGTTTCTTCGTTGAGATGGAGGGATGAGGTGCATGGAGTGCGTTTTCAGGGCGCTGCCGGAGATCAGGCGTAGGACCCAGACTGCTGCCGACTGCTGCCCTTGATGCCGATTCTTGTGATGACAGTGTGTTATCTCATTCTGATGCCGACTAGGCAGGAGAAATTTTCACCTCAAGAATTCAAAGCACGTTCATAAGGATTCCTAGAAACAAAACCTTCTTGAGCATTTTTTGGGGCGATGAATACGTACTATCAGAGTCACATTGTTTGCTGAAATCGTTGCATGCACTCGAGCTCTCCTTTGAAACAGCTTTGATTCCTATAGAGCCTATAGACTTTACCCTTCACTTCACTTTTGTTTGTGCATCACTTGCAGGGGGGGCAGTTTGGAGCAGATCTGATTTTGAGGGAACATATGTTGTCTCCAGTCTTAGATTCAAGCTGTTTACCATCCCCCCAGGACCATGGAAGTGGACAACACAATTTTTGCAGAGGAAACTTGTTTTTCCAGGGGCAATCCATTCACTTGCATGGTCCATGGATTATTTCAGGAAGTGTAAATACCCCTCAGGCCCTGTGTGGTGAAGTAAGGCACCCTTTTCAGGCATTTGTCTCCACAAAAACCGATGGCATGTCTTCGTACCGAGATGATACCTTGTCCATGTTTTTAGAGCCGAGAGTTGTGAATAAAGTGAAGCCCTTCACCCGTTCACATCCTTCCCCAGTAGGATGACATAGGATGATGACCGTTTATTGTTATCTTGCATCCACGGTCACCGCACACCGGAGACCGGGGCCGATCAGGTCTCGTCGGACTCGGCCTGGTCGGTGACTCTGCTGGGACGCCGCGTCGCTGGAGCCGACGGGGGACGATGGTGGCCCACAGGCGGGGGCGAGCTTCGCGGTTTGATCGTCTAGCTGCTGATTGGAAGGTTCCTCCTCCTCCTCCTCAACCCGCCGTGGTAGAACAGTAGAAAGGGCGGTTTAGGTCGTGGCGCCAGGTTGGTGTGAAACCATGGGGCCGGGTCGATGGCCCAAGTGGTCGGTTTGACGGTTTGACGTGCTCCCCATCTACCAGGACCATCAACTTAGGGATCTCCATTCAACACCCATTGGATGGTCCATGCAGGTATACATTTATTTTAAAGAATTTTAAAGAAAGGTATTGAATGATCCCTATGAAGAGAACATGTGAATGATCGCATGCACCCTCCCTCCAACAATCAACAACCTCATGTTTGAGAGGGAAGTTCAAAAGGCAATGTTCCAATTGCCCCTGCTTGAGAGGGAAATCAGGGGCAGTTTTCGACATTTGGAACCCAAAGGCGGCACCTTTCAGTCCACTGCGTGTGTCGGCGTGTGTGAGAGAGTTGCTTGCAGTGTTGCACCGCCCTGGGTGTTTAGTCACATGCACAGTTTAGTCACTATCAACCTGACTGTTGTGAGTTGTTTTTTTTAATCAGGATGGAATTGATTAATCCCATCCTCCTATTAATAAACACGGCCCCCCCCCCCTATTAAAAAAAACCTCGGTCGCATTTTTTCTAATAGGGGGTCCCTGAAATCGGGGGGTCCAAAATAGGGTCACCGGGGAAGAGCTTCAAAACCAAAAAGTAAATCCGTAAAGTTTTATATAAAATCCTTTATTAAACTCGTATCAAAAATGCAAAAAAGCTCCAGATCGAAGGGTCTTTTCCCCTACAAAAAACCTTCATATAGAATAGTTATTCTTCAGTAGACTAACAGCTAAAGCTTTCGAAAGGTGATGTCGCTGTGCCATGCGGTGTTGCATGACCTCGGTGGCAAGTGCGTTTGCGTGAGTCCGTGCCATTGGGGGAAGGAAAGCCTGCTGGTGTAAGCGCGGCGTGTCATGGTGGATAGACAGGGCGGACAGAGGTGGGCAGTTATGGTTGTTTTTGGGGAACCTAATTAAAAAAAACTACCCCCAAAATCGACCATGTTGGTTGTTTAGTAGCGGTTTGAAAGGGCGGCAATTTAAAACCAAATATAAACCGAATTTAGGGGTTCGGACGTGGTGTTTTTTTCATTGGGGAGTGTTTATTAATAGGAACTCGGGATTAATGAAAGCAAAACAATCGGTGCTTCTCAGGCTTGCAGTCCTGCTGCTTGGCATTTGAACAGTCATCTGAACTATATAATGCAACTGGTGCGGAAGCTGCATCTCAACCCACACATCTCCTTATTCAAACCTGGTTTTGCTTAAAGTGACGTGTAGCTATATATATGGGTATAAATCTTCTTCGGAATGTGGTTTCCGGAATCGCGCGATTCCGGTCTTCCAAATCTGCAGGAGCACGGCACTGGCATTTGACCGAGGGGAAGAGGTGCAGGAAGGATGTTGGGTTTTGTAGCGTGAGCGCCGGCGCGAGCACGCGCGAGCGATTCAGAGGGATCATTGAGGGCAGGGCACGAGCTCGGAGCGACGGAGGGACTGCCCCCTTGGCCCGCGTGGCGAGGTAGGCACATGCCATTTCATTGAGTGCAAGATTTACCCTCCCTCCCCTCCATTTCTCCCTTCCTTCCTCCTCGGGTTTTACATTTTGCATTTTTAGCTTTGGCACTGAAAAAAATCAAAACACACTTCTTATGGGTTTTAAGTAAAAAACAACTAAACCATTTTACTTTAGTCAAGTAAAAAACAACTAAACCACTCGTTGAATCTATTGAGTGATGCATTAACAACTTTCAAGCTTGATGGTTGTCGTCAGTGACTGTGGCTGGGGATTTCTGGTATATCGGTATATCTGTAAACTGTAGCCGGAGCCTATGATTTTGCATTGATTTACATGATAGATGGGTAGAAAATAGTAGAACCATCAGGTGGCAACCTGAAGGACTGGAGAAGCAAGTCCTTTTTCGATCTGGTTCATTCTGGGAGTGGGTTGAGTAGATTTGAGATTTGTGTCACGTGTCGCCCGCCCTTACTGCGTGCACTGCAGAGCTTTTTGTGAGAGGGTAGTGGAAGACTTCATAAGTCGATGAAATCAATAGCTTTTGTAAATAAGTCCATGAATGTTGCCTTAAAGGCTTGAGTAGCTTTTTGCCAATTATACACTTCCCAAACTGCTTCAAGGCTTTCTCTAAGCTATCACTGCAATATCAGTATCTTTCTGCAAGAAGTTGAAACGCTTCAGTGCAATTAAAACTAAAACGGGCCCGACGTAGCTTCACTTCGATTGAAGACGTGGAAGGCCTGCTCGGGTGGCGTGAGAAGTGAGAAGGGCTGGTCCAGAGTCCAGGTTTTATTTTTATTTTTAAAACGTATAGTTTATGGAACTGTTTTTTCAAGAAGGTTTACTATTTCGGATTCCTTCCGAAGCTTCCCTCAGAATAGCTGGAGTTCAACAGTTTTGTCAGGTGATGGCGTTGGTATCTATGTTTGAGAAGGTAGCGTTTGTGACTTGAGCGGGCTTCACCGATACCCCTACCGATACCCTATTCTTCAGTTCTGGTGGCCCGGCTGAACAGCCCCCCAATTGAACTACTGCTACTGCTACTGCTACTACTACTACTACTGGCACTAGTACTCTCACTAGTTTTTTCTTCTAGTACTACTACTACTACTACGACTACTACCACTACCACTACTACTACCACTACCACTACTACTGCCACTACCACTACCACTACTACTACTACTAGTACCACCACTACGACTACCACTACCACTACCACTACCGCTACCACTACCACTACCACTACCACTACTACTACTACTACTACGACTACGACTACGACTACGACTACCACTACTACTACTACTACTACTACTACTACTACTACTACTACTACTTTTACTACTACTCGTGGATACTACTACGAGTTTATCCGCCACTCATATAAGAACACTTGAGACCGATAGGTTACCACCCAAAACATGTCAAGAGATGCCAAAACCTGAAAACCGATGGGGGCCCACCCAAATTAGCAACGACCATTGCCGGTAGTAAGTACTATTGACCGAAACTCATATGAAGCAATCATTGGTTGGATTAGGGCTGGATGCACCATGCTGGCTAAGCAGTGCTTTTTACTGCTCCCATAGCGATGCCAACCAATTTTCGGCTTTGGGGTGTTTCAGTTTCCTCTGCCGCTAAAGCGCTAAAGGCATGGAAGCGCATGGTCACTGTGCTTGATGGACCTTGTGGAGACTACTTAGCTGAATCCAGGTGATGTAATTTTCCGAGTATCCTGACAAAACGTGAAATGACGAAAAGCCAACATTTTAAGAAACACCAACATCTTAATTAAAGGAACTTGTTTGCAGGCCTCGATTGTTTGAATTTTTTGTGAGTGTTGTTTATTGTCAAAACAAGAGCAGGAAGAACCGGAACAACTACAACAACGACAAGACAAGAACAACAGCAACAACTGCAAGACAACATTGACAACGACAAGAACACTTCAATAACATGTTTGTTGGTCTTGAGCATGGGATGTGAGTCTGCTGTTTGCGGATGAGAGGTGCCGTCGGAAGGTCTCTGGTGGGGTGAAGTGGGGCTGCATTGTTTTTTCAGTTAGTGGTTGCTTTTTGACCACAGAATTTGCTCTTTGCTCATGGGCCGTTCTCCAACTGACACTGTGGGCGCATGTTTTGTGGGTTTTAAGAAGCATTGTTTCTTTCTTATGCTCCCCGTACTTTCAGTCGCATGGCGGGGCCAGACCAAGTTTAATGGAGCACCTGCTGATTGTGGGTCCATTCTTCACAGGCAATTCAAACTAGGCACAATTTATTCCAAAGTATTTGCGCTCCAAACGGAAGCACCGACACCATAACAATTCCTCAACTGTTGAAGCATGTATTTAAACACACACACACACACACATTGGAAGACTCAGCAGCCTCTGATCGGCAATTTGTTCGGCAGGCAACCGCAGATGGCTCTTCGCGGTTTTGTGTGAAACAGGGCTAACAAGGCCTGAGGGTGCGTTTGATCGTTCGGGTTTCCGCAGGCAGCATTATTCCACTATACCGCTGCGACATTGGGAAATGAATGACACGAAAGGTCAAGTTGTCAGTTCTGGTTATATGATTTGAAGCTACGGACCCACTGATTTTTGAACGACATAGACCGAAGAGCATACATGTTGACCCTTTCTGCTCGAAAGCTTGGCTCACACTTGTAGCGTGAGGTGAGTGACTAGCACGCTTTCAAGACAACTGTCTTTAAAATAGTCCTTTTGAGTCTGCAGACACCATGCTTCTTTTGTTGTCAGCTTCAGCATTTGTTTCCAAATGCCATGGACCTTGTAATTGGCATCTATTGTGAAGCAACAGAATCATTTCAATTATCCTTGGTCCGATTCCCGGCGGAACATCGAACCCTGGCATTACTTGTGCTGCGTATCCTCGCCTCCCTTTTTGACATCCTGAGCTCACGAACTTTCACTACTTTTTTCTGGGTGGAGGAGCTGCGTCTGGCTACTTTAGACGGTTCAACGATTAGGGAACGAACCTTTAGACGTCGGCCTTGAAAGCTGCTTGAACGGATGAACCGTCCGGAGTACTTGCCAGAGATTTCTCCTGATGATCCAATTATTGAAGCTGACTTCTTGGAAGACCTTTGGAAGAATCTCGACGTGCTGCAAAGATCTCTCTGTCCACATGCCGATCACAGACTGGACGATTGTTGCGTCTGTGGCTTTCATTGGATTTGCAAAGCTGTTCTGGCTTTGGAATCTCATGAGATTCCCCCCCACATCTTCGAATTTTTGGGGGCCATCCGCGCAACTGCGCAAGATGCGCACAAGTCTCCGACGAGCAGAGCAGTAGCGGCGCTGACCCCTTCTGCCTCCAAGAGGGTGCAGAACAAAGAGCTAGAACCTTTTGTTCTTTGTTCATTGGTGAGAAGCATCCTGGGTGCCAACGTGGATGAGAAGGGCCTGAAAGCTCTACGTGACAACTTCAACAGAAGCTGCGCTCAGATCAAACTTGAAGGCTCCAAGAAGCTCCTCTCAGAGAGCAGTTGTCCTCCTCACATTTACCAGCTCCTCCACAAGGACGTCGGTCAACATGCTTTCTGGACCGTTCACTTTGGGGGGCGTGGCCTCTGGCAGATTTTGGAGAGGCGGAGTAGTGATTTTGCTGCATTGGCAAGATGTTGATATTATGTGCTTACATGTTCTTATTCAAAGCCTGAGGGGCAAATTGTTTTGGGTTTCATAGCAGGTTGTTCGATTGAATCGGCGTGTCAGATTGTGTTTGGCTTGGCGTAATCATAGCCTGTTGCAAACCATTACACACAGACAGCCTTTCCTGCAGACATAGAAACCTTGGTTCATTTGCCGACCATGTATTTGGAACCTATGCCTTTACCTTATGACGACCCTTGATGCTTTTGCGCGCTCCTTCTTACTTCTTCTGGCCTATCTCCTTCACAGAACTTGATTTATGCCACATTTGAGGTATTCCATCTTACTTGCCAGCCCCTCCTGCATGTTGGCGTCTCTTCTTCAGCTCTCTCACATTGCTCTTGCTGATATTCTCGAAGCCTTAGTGCTGCTTTTGACCTGTGTATGCTCAAGTATGTTCAGATTGAGAGGGTATGCAATTCTGCTGCTTTGATGTGAGTAGAACACATATGAAGCAGTAAACACTATTTTTTCAATACAGCAGCCGCAGCCCTGGCAGGTGGAGAAAGCAGCGGACTTTTTTTTCGGCCTGGATACCAGCAGTCAAGAGCTTTCTGGTCCTGCGCAGCTGAAAGTTGCAGGGCAGATCTCTTTTGGATCTCAGGTCCGTGCAGCTTCTGAAGCAAGAGCATGAGAACTACGTCCGGTGGTTCAGTGACAGAAGCTCAGAGAATTTCAGCCCACGAGGTGGAAAAGACCAAAGCGGGCAGTTGAAGCAGAGAAAACTTTGCGCAAGGCAGCGGTTTTGTTGGGTTCTCTCGGTTGTTTGGGGCTTTAATTTTGTTTCGTCCCAAGTCTGAGTATCAAGTCTGGGATTCAGCTTGGCCCGCTTCTGCTAGATTTGTTTGGGGTAAAAGCAATTTTTGGATGATTCTTTGGGAACACGTTGTGAATAAACTTGAGGGGTCTAGAACTGTCTGTCTAGAACTGGGCTTTTCCCCTTTGATTTTTAAAACAACAGGTGGCAAGGTCGGAGGGAGGCCATGATTGGTTTGAGAGCTGTCAGGAGTGAGAAAATGATAATTCACTTCCGGAGTATTTTTGGTTTGCAGCAGCTTTCAAAACTTGGACTAACTTGTCAAACCATGGCGATGCCGGCTTTGGACGTGACCGAGCTATTGCATTACATGGTCGATGATCTCGCCAAGCAAAAGCAGCGCGAAGAGCACTTTAGCTCAATGATATGCAAGTTTGCCTG